GTGGTGCAAGCCTGTAGTCTCAGCTACTCAAGAGCCTGAGCCAGAGGATCACTGAAGCCCAGGACTTCAAAGCTGCAGTGAGCTATGATCAGAACACTACATTCTAGCCGGGGCAACAGAGCCAGACCCTGTCTCAAGAAGAAAAATAATATGATAGAAGTAAATGATATATGACTGAACATTGAAACCAGATGGACAGAGATGAATAATTTTCTACAAAATGAGAAAGGACATAGAAACAAAAAAAAAAGAATCCTAAGATAAGTAAATGAGTAAAAAACTACTAAATATACTCAGACTGGACTAATGCCAACGTTCCCTCTGTTTGCTCTCCTGGTCTCCACTCTTGGCCTCCACTCCAAGTCCTTTTCCACTCAGCAGCCAGAGTGACTGCATCACTACCATCAATGCCCCTTCAAATCAGTGCCCCCTGGAATCCCTGTTCCCTACTATCACTTTTCCTCTCATGCACTGGGGTCATTGCTGTGGTCTTCTTGAGTTCCCTGAAGACACCACACTCTGTCTCAGCTCAGAACTCCTGCCGAGGGCCTCTCTGTCTGCATTGGTCTCCTCCATTTCTTGGCCTGGCTACTACGTGCACACCAGAGGCCTCCCTTATGCCCCACACTCAGTCTAAATCAAGTTCCCAAATATATGCTTTCATGGAACCCTTTTCCATTTTAGTATGTATCACAAATTATAGCTATGTACTATTTGTCTGACTGTTTACTACCGGTCTCCCCAACTTGGTGTTGTTTTCATTCACCAACATATTTCCCAACACCTGGCATATAGAAGGCACTCAGTAAATACTTGCTAGAAGAATAACAAGATTGATAAAGCTAAATAAGTAAACAGAAATCAATTCACAAAAAGCCTTTTATTTATTTTAATCCATACAATAGAATATTTAGGCTTTTTAGATCTTGCTATCCTAGTAACAGAAGGCCACAGAAGGGTTTTAAATAGAAGAGTAACATGATCAAATATACATGGCAAGACATGGCAAGAATGTCCATTCCTTCCTGCAAACATAACAGACATTCTTAAAGTTACTCTTTCTTCATTGAACCCAACCAGGCCTCAGAATTAGTCAGGGCAGACCTCCAGGAATTCATTGCCAATAAATTAGAATAGCCCAAGAAATGAAACCTAACAATAGTTCAAAGACCATAAGGTCAATAGCTCAAAGACCAGAAGGTCTATTATAAATATACTGGAAGAATACTAATGGACTGTTTTACAGATCAAGGTGGAAAATGTTCTATGCAGAATAGTTAGGTTAAAAATGAAAATATCAATGTGACATCCAACTTTTTGTAAGAGTACTTTGCAGAATCCTAAAAGAGGAGCTACACAACAATATTTTGCTTTTAAAAGTTTTTATTTCCCTTACTTTTAATTAAGGTTATATTCACTATCAGCCAATGATTAAAGAATATTTTGCCCCATTATCACCTATCATACTGGAATAAAGGGCATGGATTTTAGATCAACTCTCCATACATTCCAGAATAAGTATCTCAGTTATATTATCTGGCACTGATGCCAAGTGTACATTTGATATTAAATGCAGCTGGGCTAAGCATACAAAAGCTACTTTTAAATCATGAAAGCTGGTACTAGACTTACTTTCCATTTTGAAAGGCCATAATTAGGATCCCAAACCTAGATTTCCACAATGGGAACAGAAAACTCACATGATAACATATATCCATTTATTGACCATTTAATTAACCCAACTGTCCCAACATGTTTACCTTTTTGCGTACTCCTTCTTGGGTGCTGGACAGTTTTAGTAAAACAGGAGGAAGGAATTTAGATATAATATTCTGCAATTGTTCATCTGTTTCAGCATGGCCAAGTCGTAAAAAGACCCGTTCAAGCTGATCTATAATATAAAAAGAAAAAAAGAGAATTTAGCAAATCAAACACAACTAAGACTAATTACTTTCATAGCTTAATCCATTTTTCTATACTGCAAATCAGTCAGAACTTTAACCATAGCTAGCCCTATACATAAATGATTCTGACACAGCCACAAAACATTAAAAAGGTTAATTGTACTACAACTATCCTCATCATTTAATCTCTAGAAAGGAGGAAAACAAAACCAAAAATAAGAAAATTCTCTCCTACATACAGTTATTCAGTTTTTCTGAAAGACTTGGGATACTGGAAAGGATACAGATTTCTGAAGGAATCTTCCAGACTTAGTTAGCAGTACAAGGCAGAAGAACTTTAATCAGATGCTAGGGACATATATCTTTGGTGAAACCATCTTACTGATGAAGTTTCTCCAAAGACAGAATCACTGCCCATTACTGTGTTGTGGTTAACAAATTAGAAAGTAAGAGACAAGTTTCCCCCCAAGAAAGCCACTATGAGAGAAACATGTTAAATGAGACCATGGGGATGCTCTCAGCAAAACCCAGACTGTGATAAACTATACAACGAGCAACCTTATTTCTTCAACCGATACATTACAGGGGCAGGCGCAAGGTGGGTTGAGAAGGGAACCTACACAAATAACTATTTTAAGGAATTACTGTTAAAAACTTTTAGGCGTTCTAATGGTATTGTGGCTATAGTTGTTTTTTAAAGGTGCCTACAAAAATTATCAATGGCAATTAAGGAGCCTTCTATGGGGCTCGAAATGTTCTATATCTCAATCTGGGTGATGGTTACACAGATATATACATTTATACAATTCACCAAGCTCTACACTTTCATACTTCCTACTGTTATCTACCATACCTCAATTTTAAAATATATTTAAAGGAATCCTCATTTTTTAAATATAAAGAGTGAAATATATATAAGCAAAATAATATAGAGTACAAGGATTTACTTCAAATAATGGAGGGGAGACTCTGGGGAGGGGTCATATAAGTGAAATCAAGATTGGCCACTAATTGATAACTGTTCAAGCTCCATGATAGATGTTGAGAATTACTATTGTATTTGTGTATGAAATTTTCCATAATAATTTTCTAAAGAAAGACAGATTGATCCCAAGAGGGCCAGAAGCCCTAGTAGCAACAAGCAGTAAGCACCCTCAGGATCCAGAATCGATCTTGTTTTTAGATACCATTTTCCAGTAAAAGGAACCAGGCTCCTTGGAAAAATGGCTGATTCTAGGGCTTGGAGCCGGGAAAAACAAGATGAGCCTGAAGCATTTTTGAGTAGCAGAAAGGAAATGTGACATGGAACACGTCAAAGGGATACAGGAACCAATTTGAAAGAGCTCCTAATGGCCCAAAGCTGGAAAACTGTCGGAACAAAAGAAATAACACAGTATTGGATTATAAGCCAAGGCATAAATCTGTAAGAGCCCATACTGATGGAAATAAGTAATTGGATGATTAAACAAAGTGAACAGAGGCAAATCTTTCTTAACAGAAGAACTAAAAATAATTTATGTGGATACTTCCCCCTACAGGAGGTGGAGCTTAATTCCTGCCCCCTCCCTTGAGGGTAGACGAGAGTTAGTGACTGCTTCCAAAGAATAAAATGAGGAAAGGGGAAAACATTAACCTTACAGTGGAGAAACCTGAAAAATGCTACTGTAACCCAGTGAAGAAGGTTAACATCACTGATGTCATATGGATATCATGTACCCCTGATATGATATGACAAGGAAGGCAATTCACCTTTCTGGTATTCATTCCAAAAATCAACCCCAGTCTAATCATGAGAAAATGAACCCCTTCCCTGCTAAAAAAAAAAAAAATTGGGAAACATTCTTTAGGACATCTGGCCAGTAATCTTCAAAACTTTCAAGAGCATGAAAAACAAGAAAAGACTAAAAAACTGTCCCAGATCAGAGGAGGGTGGGAGACATCACAACTAAATGGTGCCTAGGATAGGATCTTGGCCAGGGGGCGACGACATTAATGGAAAAACTGGTGAAATCCAAAGAAAGTCTCAAATTTAGTTTAAAAAATTAATAATAAAGAAAGAAAAGAACAAGGAAGGGAGGGAGGAAAGGCAGGCAGGTGGGTTCTGAGATCGCCAGCCCAGTAATTCTATTTGATAAATGCTGAATGTTGCTGTGAAAGGAGTTCTCAGGAACGGTGAATTCACCCCACGGTATTTGTGGAAGGTGCAGGTGAGGAGCAGCTGCCTTAGTGCCCTACAGACCTAAGGCAGTGGAAAATGCCTGAAAAGTTGAGGTACAGGAACTGAAGAATTGTTCTGTGGACAAAGGCAAAAAAAGTCAAACTCTTCGTAATAAACTGACCTAGAAATTTGGTGCCAAATTTTTTTTAAAAAGGGGGGGAATATCTGGTCCCTTTCATTGTTCACATAATCATTTGGGTGCTTCCTATGTACCCCCAGTACAGTACCCAGCACTTTTTACTCTCCCTCACTAGAAAGAAAAATATGACATCCTAAACACAATAAAATTATTTATGATAAGAACGTGGGAAAGGGAAGACAGGGCACAAACCATCACATGAGGGTCCTTCTAAAGCAGGCTGAGTACACCTGAGGAAGAGGTAAAGCCTTGTACATTCTTTGAGGAGGATCAATTCAATACTGTTAGGTCATCTTTAGACATACATCTACACCTTAAATAAAAGATAATCTTGTTCAAACTTCACGAAAAATAAGAAATGTCAACATGTGCAGGTATACTCAACTACTAAATTTTTCAACCTGTCAAAGTTATCAAAATAAAGAGAAAAAACTTAGCACTAGTATGGTCCCTGAATCCTGTTTTTAGAGGCATAGAAGGAATATGAACCCTGTCCTTTACCTTCAGCCCTGGAAACACAGCCTCATGAAAGTTACAAAGCAAATTAGACACAAGACCCAAAAAGGTTTACTCAGAAACAAGAGGGATAGAAACAAAAGTCCTGAAAATTCAAAGGGAATCTAAAACTCAAGTCCACCTTTCACAAGGACTCAGTTTTTAGTTGCAGGAACTGAGATTCTCCAGGTCATCACAGAAGGATCTGAGACAGACAAACAATACTTCAGCGTCAGGAGCAAGTTCCATTCTCCCCACAATTTTGATGTTATTTATCTGTCCAAACTCATATCGAATTAATTTCACTTGTAAGAAAATCAGAGACATTACCATACCCTCAAATAATCATATTAAACATGGGGAATATATTCTGAACTATTTTTTCTTATTAATACACTAACATTACTTAACACAAAAACTG